AGAGTTCTGACGCACCAACTAACGCGAGCCGCTTTTTGCTCTTAACAGAGCGAATGCGGTATCCATCGGGAAAACAACTTTTTTACACCTAATTGTTCATGCAAGATTATTTGTATTTGACTCATGCCAATGTCTAAAGTTGCCTGAATTTCGCGGTATGTCACATTTCGATCTTCCTCAATCAGCTTACGCACAGCATCAACGTTTTCTTGGATGACTGCAGTTTTTGGACGACCTTGACGAGGATCATCACTGAGCTTGACACGTCTACGTTGGAATTCAGCAAACCAGCGATAAATTGTGGTTTTGGATGGGGCTTCATCACCAAATGCAGAAATCATCCGGTCAACACATTGTTTTTGTGTTAAACCACTTGGAAAGTCATAATAAATCATCGCTCTTGAATTTTCTCGAGTCAATTCCATTTTCTCAACGACTAAACAAATTTGACAAAACCTTGTGACAAGACCGAGAATCTTTTTTTAAATAAATAAATGGTATTCGATTTTTAAAACCAAGGAATTTTTAATTAAAAAGATTTTAATATGACAGGAACAGTCGAAATATTCCATTCCCGATACTTTTAGTGCAGCCCTAGTAGAATGGGGTGAATAGAAACAAGACTGGTTATTTGTTTTTCTACATTTTTGGAACGTGTGTTTATTTCTACTGTTTATTATATGTAAACATTTTTATTTTATTTTGGCAATCTTGAAAAACCTATAGACTTTATCAAATAACCAGACTTGTTTATATCCACCCCGCGGTTTCTATTCACCCCATTTTACGGTACCTATAACTTCACCGTATTGATTAGATTGGCAGACAAAGTTGGTCACAAATTAAATCTCTAGTCAAGTTGCATCTGTAATTATAATATTTCTTGGAAAAACAAGTCCACGAGACTAAGTAAACATATTGCAGCTAAATGAGTAGTTTTTAGATTTTTGTATGTCTGTGTAATAAAATAAACAAAGTACTATATTTTGCCTTCAGTTATGTGGGTACTAATCAAATAATATTTGTCTTGTTTTATAATTACGTTTCATATAAAATTTATAAAACTATGCTTAGAATATTCTGACTTTCATTATTTAGTTATTTCATTACAATAGTGACATCTACTCTTTTGCTATTCGGCCGAATACTGAATACTTGAGTGACATTTTGTTGAAGTTAGATAATTGGTAAAATAGAAATATTATTTTCTAATGATTTATTTTTATTACAATGGTGTATTTTATGACAATGATAAAAGTAGTTGCAGCTATATAATCAATTATAAAAAATTACCAAAAAAAAATCAGATAAATGTCTATGCACTTGAATCACCGTAAGTCAGAAAGACTATTTTTTTTTGCATTTTCAGGCAGTAGTTAGCTAATTTTCTTCTCGTAGACAATCCCAGCTTGCCAGAATAGATGCTCTGAATAAAAAGCAGTACTTCCTTCCCGATCGAATACTTTTGCCTAATATTCAGCTATTCAGCCAAGAAGCCCGCAGAGTATTCGGTATTCGGCGTGTTTCCGAATATACTATTCGTTGCAAGTCTACTTTTTATACATATAGCTTTAGAGTTTTGGTTTTCATTGTAGATAAATAAATTAAATTAAAGAACTTTACTAAATATTTTTCAGTCAGTATCAAAAATTGTCAGACTTAAATTATGCCATGTTTGGCAAAACGACTAATTAAATGGTATAGTGAACACTGTCCATAGAAAATTGTGATTAACAAAGCTCTTTAGTTGAATATATTCCTTATTTATCGTAGTAATAATTTAATCAAATTCTATTTGTATAAGTTAACAGATGCAGGTTATAGAAAATTATGTGCACTGTGTGAATTTGTTATACTGTTAGATGACTGTTACTAGGTATAATGCGGTCCACAAAGATGCAACAGCTTCCTTTCAGTTTTTATGAATTTCATTTTAACAAATATATATCGTGTAACTACTTCATAAGATTTCATGAGAAGATGAATATTTTATGACGAATTTTATGGGCTGATTTACCACGGCAGTGAAGTGATGAATTATAATACCGAGGGGAAACCTAGATGTTTAAGAAGTTAAGAAAATATACAGGGTTATTTATTTTAAACTTAAGTTCAAATTATAAATAATGATATACCGTTATTGCATTTTTTGAAAGTACGAGTAAAGCTTTTTTTGTTACATAACGAAATTATCCCAAATCGAATGAGATTTATAAGCAAAAACGTTTTCGCCTACCGACCGACCCTTACGAATGCGTGCGCGAGCAGTAAAATCAGTTAAAATAATGTATTACCTCGCATTTTGAATTTAAACGATAAAAATTGCTGTTTGAGTTTTTTTTAATTACTTTTGTTAGCAAATAATACAATTTATGTTACAGCATATCACTTTTATTTTATCCGTTAATAACTCACAATTTATTTATCGTACAAATAATCACTGTTACTTAGTACCTTCATTATATCTTTACACCAAAAACTGTCAAGTCTCTTAAGTCTCAATACCTTAGAATTGAATAGAACTGAATGCCCCGCTTGGTTCGTGACGGCCATATTTATCCTCTTTTGTTAGGAGTCAAATCCGAAACTATTACAAAAAAATCTTACCGGAAATTCAAAGCCACAAAAGCGGAAATCCGATTTACATTTACTAAAGTAGATGGATATTTCAAGAGATAACTACTTACATTAAAATTATGATCATTGAATATGTTATGCTTAATTGTTCTTTATACTTAATTGCTAACACTTTTTTCCACCATTTGCCTATATTGTTTATTCTGAACCTTCTCTAGAAATTTGGCCGGTAATTGCAAAATAACCATGTATTACCTACTTATCGGAAACTCTCCTACCTTTTACCATACGAAAATATAATTTAAGATGCGAGTTTATTTTTATTTCTCAAAAAAGGCTAGTAACTGACTGATCGTAAACTTAGGTAACAATTTTAAAAATATATTAAGGTTGGGCCACAATAAAGTTCATTTATCTTTGGCAAATAGATCGTCATACGTGGGAAGTAGCGCGGGGTGTGATCGGGTCACGCGTCTTACGCAATTTTAGTCGCCATGAGTCAGTCGACGGGGTAGCAGCGCGCGTTCGCGGTTCAAGCGTTTTACGAAAATGGTTATTCTTACATTATTGTGCGGCGTATGTTCAGAGTTATATTCAATTTACGGAGTATCTGGCAGCGTCCTAGTACTCAGTAGCTAAAACAATGGCTGAAGAGGTTCCAAGAAACTGGTTCGACGCTACCAATGAGACGTCAAGGTCGCCCCCGTACTTTACGCACGGAGCAAGCGAATCAGGAGGTTAATCGATCTGTCCAAGAAAATGCGGAACTCTCTACGCGACGACGTTCAGCGACTTTGGGGATTTCGCGAAGCAGCTTAAGACGAATTTTGAGACAAGATTTGTAGCTTCATCCTTATAAGATCCAGTTGGTGCAAGAACTTTCCCATGATGACCATACAAAAAGGGCGTCATTTTGCACCTTGATGTTAGAGCGGTTTTCCAACTTCGGGAACATCCTTTTCTCGGACGAAGCCCACTTTCACCTGTACGGATTTGTCAACAAGCAGAATTGCCGTTCTAGCGTGCTGAACAGCCTTTGCGCAAGCATCAAAAGCCACTCCACTGCCAAAAAGTGACGGTTTGGGCTGCCATTTCAGCCAAAGGGCTGATTGGGCCTTATTTCTTTGAAAATTCTCGAGGTCACGCAGTAACCGTTAACACAGACCGTTATGTGGAAATGCTTCAAAAGTTTTTAAGGCCAAGCCTTTGCTGGGCTGCAAGAGTACAACTCCCTGACCTGGTTCCAGCAGGATGGGGCCACCTGCCACACGTCTAATGCCAGCATGGAGGTCGTACAGGAGCTGTTCCCCCGGTAGTCATCTCAAAGAGAGGTAACATCGAGTGGCCACCACGAAGCCCAGACTTGTCCCCACCGGATTTCTTTTTGTGGGGATTTCTCAAGAATAAGGTATATTCCAATAAACCGAGGACAATTACTGCCTTAAAAGCTAACATTCGACCAGAAATGGCGGCCATATCGACAGCAACGTGCCGGCGTGTTTTTGAAAATTTAAAGTCCCGCTTAGAAGAGTGTTTGCGGCGAAACGGGGAACACCTAGACGATGTTATTTTCAAGAATTAAATTAAATTAATGTTAAATTAAGTTACTTTTTGAATAAACTCTCTAAGTATTATCAGTCTTTTTTTATATGGGTTTCAAAAGTGAACTTTATTCTGGCCCACCCTGTACTAACAGAACGTCGTCCCGGTGAATTCAAGAAGAATTAATTAATGTTTTATTTTAACTTACTGTTTTATTTCACGGTTGTAATTTTTAACATGTATATTTTTGGCTTTATGCTTAAATTTGAAAATTGATTAAAGAAACTAAGATTAATCATGTGTTTTATTACCACTAAATATAGCATACTATAATCCGAATGCCTCGATAATCCGGAAAGGGCCTTGTTTTCGCCTCTTCGGATTAACGAGGTTCTACTGTAATTACAAAGACTTACGCGGATATAAAGCTTTTAAATACAAAGGTTTTTAAAAGATAAACACTCCTTTTCAAGAAAAGCCGTATTGTTCTGATCTGAACTACCAGCCATTGCGATAATTGTATCGACGAAAGAATATAAGCTTGTACATTCTTAATATCAAACAGATCACAAAATCATGTTAAATTGAAACCTAATTTTGATGGCGATACAAGTCGTGAGCACAAATTGTATCTACACAGTTGCAGATTAAAAGGTCTGTTTGGTAAAGTGATAGCAAGGACGAGAAGCGAATGAATGTGTACTATATTAAAATGGTAGTGCATACGCGAATTACAATCACTATATTCTGGCTCACAACTCGTGCCGCTACTTACACAATGCCCATTTTATAAATAAAGGATAGCAATCAGTCTACATATGCACCTGTTTATATTATTTATCTATTTATGCTTGTACAATAAATTAAATGCTTACATTGTGTTAATTAAATATAGTGATAAAGTCATGATTCTTTTTAAAATTTTCTAGTTCTTCTTCACTGATGTCTTCATTACCTTGAATGTCCAATTTTTCTAATTCAATACTTGGAAAACCTTTTAATGTGTGTAGTTTGTTGTTTCTTAAAATTAATATCTGAAATATATAAATATATTTTTGAAGATAATACATATAAAATGACCTTATGATAATACATAATTAATGAACAAATAGCAAAACAAAAATATAACATCTTTATACAACACGTAACATAATTAACGCACTTTGAGAAAGTACTTTGCTCAGAATCGTTTACTGAATCGATTCCTATCATATGTAATATAGGTAATTTTTTATCCCAAAAATAATTAAAACTACGTAAATTACAGTCACATTAAATCTGTACAGGCAAAACAAACCGAAATGGACCGTAACTTAAGGCAATAAGACTTTTAAGAGTGCAGTTTTATTTGTATTATTACTAATTCGATCATTCAATAAAAATAAAGAAAAAAGTCTTTGCGTTCGTGGATTTGTACTGTGACCACAACATTCTTCCGAAATTAGTATAACTAATTTGATAAATAAAAATATTTAACTAAACATTCAGTGTATGTATTATGATTATAACATAATATACTAATTGGGGTGTCTGTGGTTGTGCGTTAATTACGTTACATATTGTATATATAAATTACGTGTCACGTTGTTTGTCCGCGATGGACTCCTAAACTACTTAACCGATTTTAATCAAATTTGCACAACCTGTGTAGTTTGGTCCAACTTGAGAGATAGGATAGTTTTTTTTTGTCCATGGCCACAATTTTATTGCGAATTTAAGGAATTTTAACAGGACATGACAGGGTCGTCGAAAAGGGCAGAACAACGTCTGCCTGGCAAGCTAGTATACCATATAACATATTTTAAAAAAATTAGACAGAGTACAGAAAATAAAGTTGAAACTTCAGTACCTACCTTACAGTGTTGTAGATATTTCAAAGAAGGCAGTATGTTCGAACTTAAGTATTGATTAGATAAATCAATAATTTCACAAAAACTGTAATATTGCAAATGAGGTAAACTTGTTAATTTATCAGAAAATGATGGTCTGAATACAAGATTTTCATATTCATAATCTAATGGCAACTGGTTCTCTATGTTCCACTTGGATATCAAGTCATTATAGTATCCAGCTCTTTGTTCATCCAGATTTTTTAAATTTTTTATATTGACTATTGCTTCATTATGATACAATTTAGCGTTAATACAATGTAAGAATACAGTAGTAGTTAGAAGTGTCCCTGGAAAATAAATTTAAAAGAATGTGAAAACCATAATAATTAGACGAAAAAGGTTAAATATACTTATATTATGTTTAATGTATATCGATCTCTTTTTAAATACTATTGGTACAGGAGGATTTATTTACATGATTTATTTTTACGTTTGTCAATCTTTTTTCGTATAAAAAATAGAAACTCATAATACAAGTTTTGCTATGTGGCAAGAGTTAGATGACAGCTATGTGATAGATTTCATGCCTAATAGAATTTGCCTAATTAGATTAGATTTAAATAGAATTTCAAAGACATTTGGTATATTATATCACTACTTGACATTAATATAAGACGCACCTCTATCATCTATTCATATCGCATATCCATGTGATATACCTTATCATTCTTAATTTAATTCTTTATATCATTACTCTCATATCTGGCCTATTAAAATAAGTGGGACTATTATTTCACCGAAACTTGGATGGTGATGTAGTCCCATCAACAGTGCCAAATTGACTGCCGGTATGTGGAAGTGCTGAAGTATTTGTATAATAAGGCTATCCAACTGGAGTAAGACACAGACCAGACACAGAAATAGGACGTTTTGAAGTTACTAGCCTGGAAAGGATAATATAGTATCAAAATTAATGACGAGTACATCAGTCATGTTTGAGTTGCAAACAATATGTATTGGCAGAATCCCTCAATATAGGTCTTAAAACAAACATAAACAAGACAAAGGTCACGTCCTTGTCACACTTGAAATTGTTGATAAGTATGTTTACCATTTGTTGGTAATTGTAGATGTGTGTTGCAAGTGGATTAATATGTGGTGGTATTTCAGCGAGATTTGGAGAGGACTACGCTCCTGAAAGACTTCGTACAGAGGATATCCATAGAGAACCAAATTAATCAATATAGCCTATGTTGGAAGAGCTTTACTCGTATATCTCGAAGAACTAACAACGGATAGAGAAGGTTCTCGGAAGGCAGCCCATTACTGTAGCGAAGTGTAGGGCGCCCCCTTCCCCTCACTAGATAGAGTGACAATCTAGTAAGAGATGCAGAAAGTCGACGGATATAGGTGGCTTAGAACCAAGCTTTGTAAAATTCTTTGTTTAGGAGTGTACTTGTCATGACAAAAAATAGCTTTTATTGTTGCATGAGATAATATTAAATACACAAGCGCAATCTCAGTTTAGCAGGTAATAGAAAAGCAATGCAATGAGAATGTTGCCAGAAGCAAACTATATATATATATATATTAACTATAATAAATATATTAATATATTTTGAAACCATCCGCTAAATTAAATAAAATGATGTGTCTTCCCTAGTTTGAAGAGCACCTCCCGCACTCCCTCAATTGCTAGCGGTCAGTCGCCGTAGAGTCAACATCACCTGAAGATGCCTCGTGTAGAGGCGAAACACGTGTCGTATTGTCGTGTCTATCGTCGATGGTGCGTCTTTCCTAGAATAGCAAAAGTATTCGATCGGGAAGGAAGTACTGCTTTTTATTCAGAGCATCTATTCTGGCAAGCTGGGATTGTCTACGAGAAGAAAATTAGCTAACTACTGCTTGAAAATGCAAAAAAATAGTCTTTGTGACTTACGATGATTCAAGTGCATAGACATTTATCTGATTTTTTTTTGGTAATTTTTTTATAATTGATTATATACCTGCAACTACTTTTACTCATTTTTATAAAATACACCATTGTAATAAAAATAAATCATTAGAAAATAATATTTCTATTTTACCAATTATCTAACTTCAACAAAATGTCTTACTCAAGTATTCAGTATTCGGCCGAATAGCAAAAGAGTAGATGTCACTATTGTAATGAAATAACTAAATAATGAAAGTCAGAATATTCTAAGCATAGTTTTATAAATTTTATATGAAACATAATTATAAAACAAGACAAATATTATTTGATTAGTACCCACATAACTGGAAGGCAAAATATAGTACTTTGTTTATTTTATTACACAGACATACAAAAATCTAAAAACTACTCATTTAGCTGCAATATGTTTACTTAGTCTCGTGGACTTGTTTTTCCAAGAAATATTATAATTACAGATGCAACTTGACTAGAGATTTAATTTGTGACCAACTTTGTCTGCCAATCTAATCAATACGGTGAAGTTATAGGTACCGTAAAATGGGGTGAATAGAAACCGCGGAGTGAATATAAACAAGTCTGGTTATTTGATAAAGTCTATAGGTTTTTCAAGATTGCCAAAATAAAATAAAAATGGCGTTGGGAGTAGTGGTGCTGGGATTAGTGCACGCAATTGAGGGAGTGCGGAAGGTGCTTTTCAAACATTTTTATTTAATTTAGCGGATGGTTGCAAAATAATTATTACTATCTTTATTATAATGGATTTCCGCAAATTAACGCCTGATTCTATCAATTATATTAACGTAGTTGGGATATCAGCAATAATTAAAATACAGACTCAAAAGCGGATATATCGAGATGGACACATGGGCCTATAATATAATACTTAAAGGTTGTTTCTTAAGAGTTGTTTCTATAAATTAAAATCTTAAATCAGCGACTCTCACAGATTGCTTTGAAATTTAGACTCAAGTTTGCATTCGAATATGCTTGTGCCTGTATATAAACGCGCTGGACAAAAGAAATATTTATATAATTTCTTTTTTTTTCTTTTTCATTTAACCGGGCTGAATCACAGTGGTGCTTACAAAAATAACAATAGTTCAAAAACATAATAGGCATTTTGTTTTCAATTACATATTATTACTTTTATTGGAATATTAAGTACAAAAACTTACATTTGTTGTCTGGTTCCAAAAGAAGCAATTGGCGACATGATTCAAGTTGCTCATTTAGTTCTTCAATAACGGGCTGAGAATATTTGTTTTGAAAACAAATTTCACTCTTACCAATGTAAATAAAAGGTTTATATTTTACGCATTTAAGAACATAGTGTCCTTCATACTCATCTTCATATTCTACCTTCAAAGTATAAAAATAATGAAAACTTCCACCCAATAGCAAATAACTTAAATAAGTTTAAAAGCAGGTTGTGTTGCAAATTTTACCTTGACATCGATATCATCATTTATGGTTACATTGTGTTTAAAAATCCACAGACAATCATGATTGTTTCCATTACAAGAAATCCAATCACCATTTATGGCAACATTATCAAAAAATATTCTTGTTTTTGATTGAACATAATTGTGAGAAACTTGCTTGCTGAATGCAACAGTTGTTTTCATTTGTGTTACCGTACATACTACAAGACTAGTCACAGTTTTAACAGCGCCTGAAAATAATTTAAAAATAATTATAAAATGTTGATACGATTTCTGGACAAATATATTAAATACTTGCTTTTTACCCAAAAGCCAACGCTGATAAAACCATGCACTAGTATCATCAGGATCAGTAAATGCTGCATTTTGTACCATCTTTAATTCATGTTTATGGTGTTTGTCTTGTATTGGCCGACCACCTGTAATAATACGACTTTGAGTTTTTCTAATGATATTGTTGTTTTTAGCCATAGAAAAATATCAAAACATGAAATATATTAAAACTTACCTTCGACATCAGGATATAATTGTAATAGCATTTTACTTCTATAATGCCAAGCGGAGTAATTCGAGAAATTATCAAGTAATTTCTCTGTTGTAAAGTCAAATTCATCTTGTAACGGAGGCTTACACTGGCTCACAACAAATCTGCGATAATCCCAGGTATGAACTTAAAAAAATACAGATTAATTAAAATAATAAATTATAGTATTTTTTTTTATAGAAGAGGGGGCAAACGAGTATGCGGCTCACCTGATGTTAAGTGACTACCGCCGCCCATGATCAACCGCAACACCAGGGGAATTGCAGGTGCGTTGCCGGCCCTTTAGAAAGGAGTAAGCTCTTTTCTTGAAGGTCCCCAGGTCGTATCGGTCCGGAAAAATCGCCGGTAGTAAAATATTGCACAGCGAGGTTGTACGCAGAAGAAAACTCCTTTTGAAACGTATCGGGACGTTTGCCGCGTAGTGCGTTCACGAAATTTGGCGGCTGAGATTAATCCGAACAATTCCTCAGAGCACTCTCCATGGTATATGCGAACAAAAAATGCAAAGAAATGCAACATCTCTTCGTAGTGCCAGTGAATCGAGCCGATCGGAAAGCACTCGGTCGTCGACGATTCGAGCCGCTCTGCGCTGGATGCGGTCAAGTGAAAGGAGCTGGTACTAGGGAGCCTCAGCCCAGAGATGGGAACAGTATTCCATGTGCGGCCGAACCTGCGCCTTGTAAAGTTGCAGGGGGCGTGCCGGCATGAAATACTGTCCCGCTCTGCTGAGCACGCCAAGCTTTTTAGAGACCAATTTGGCCTTCTCTTCCAAGTGACCACGAAACTGCACGTCACTCGATATGTCAACGCCGAGGATTCCGATACTGGCTGAGGTAACAAGGGGAGTGCTTCAAAACTGAGGAGATACGACAAAGGGGTTCTTTTTAGCGGTTAACGCGCAAACTTGTGTCTTCTGAGGGTTAAACTGGACTAGAATTAGTCGCCCCCAATCCGAGACTCTGTTCAGCAAAGACTCGACTTCAGACACAAGTTTGTCCCGACACTCGGAGACGTTTTCCAGAGAAATATTGGCTCGGCCGGTGTAAAGAGCATCACCAGTGCTGTCATCTGCATAGCAATGAATATTACGGGTTTGCAACATATCATTGATATGCAGAAGAAACAGCGTTGGCGATAGCACGCAGCCTTGTGGAACACCAGCATTAATAGGCTTGCAATCGGAGCTTGCACCGTCTACAACGACCTTGATGCTCCGATCTGCAAGAAAGCTGGTGATCCCATCGCACAATTTTTCGGGAAGCCCATAGGAAGGGAGCTTCGAAAGAAGCGCTTTGTGCCAAACCCGATCGAAGGCCTTCGCAATGTCCAAACTAACGGCCAATGCCTCCCCCTTGGACTCTACTGTCTCCGCCCATCTGTTAGTTAGGTAGACCAGAAGATCACCAACTGACCGACCACGGCGAAAACCGTATTGGCGGTCACTAATCAGCTGGTGATCCTCAAGGTACCTCATGAGCTGGCAGTTTACAATGGACTACATTGTTTTGGAGAACGAGGAGGTGATGGCGATAGGCCGGTAGTTGGACGGGTCTGAGCGGTCGCCTTTTTTAGGGATGGACGAAAGCCGTCTTCCATGACTTTGGGACTACGCCTAGGGAGTAGGAGTACCGGAAAAGACGCGTTAAAACCGGTGCCAACTCTGGAGCAAACGTCCTCAGCACAATTGGGGGATTCCGTCAGGCCCACTCGACTTGTGGATGTACAGGGAGAGGAGTGCTTTGCGAACCGAGCGCTGTGTGAACTGCACTTTCGGCATGGAGCACTCACACCGCGGGATGGTCGGCGGCGTACTCCCCCCGTCATCGAGAGTCGAGTTGGACCCAAAGAAAGAGCCTAGAAGATCGGCTTTCTCCTTTGCGGTATGGGCCAGTGAGTCGTCCTCCCTGTGCAGAGATGGCTGACAGAAATTCCCCTGGACAGCCTTGGCGAGAGACCAGAATGCACGGGTTCCAGAAGGTAGGCGAACTAGTTTCTCGCCAATTCTGCCTATGTGCTCTGACTTTGCCTTGGCAATGACTCTTTTGAAGGACCTAGAGGCGGAATTATACTTCTTTTTTATAGCGCTGGTGTTTACAACCCGGGACGCTGATGCGTCAGCCCAGGCTTGGTAGCACTCCTGCTTATAGCATGATGCTATTTTACAGGAGCGACCAAACCATGGCTGAGACTTGCCTCCAATGGGCACCATAGAGGAAGGAATAAAAAGTTCCATATTCTGAAGTACCACATCAGCGACAGAATCCGCAACAACGTTGGGATCGTCCGGCGAGAAGCAAACCCGCCCCCAAGGGTAAGATGCAAAGAAAGATAGCATCCCATCCCAATCGGCTAACCTATAGTGCCAAACACGGCGGCAGCCTGCAGAATGCAACCGCGATTTCAGCGTGAGTGGCACCACACTCCGGACAAGACAATGGTCCGAGGAGCCTAAAGGGGCTTCGACGGAAATCTGATATCCGTCCGGGTGAGAGGTCAGCAGAAGGTCCAACAGGGAAGGTGCATGATCCTCCACATCTGGAATCCGCGTAGGCGAAGTAACCAGTTGTGTCAGACCATATGCCGAGGCAAAATCATGAACAGATCTCCCCGCATGATCGGTTAAACGTGAACCAAGCCATTCGGCGTGATGGGCGTTAAAGTCGCCGAGGATCACGATCTCTGCGGAGGGGATCTGCTGTAGCAACGAATCTGTAGCCATTTGGACGTGGTCGAAGAGTCGGTCTGTTTCGGCATTACCGCTATGGGACCTATAGAGGCACCCGTAGACGCGCGGATGGTCGTCGCTGTCTACGCGTAGCTAAAGGATGGACAGGTCCGAACCTTCAAGTCTGCCGAGGCGTCGAGAACAGATGGCCTCTCTGACGTAAACGCAAACTCCAGCCTGCGTCTCGGTCAGAAAGCCTCGCCGTCTCGAGATGGTAGTGGACGGCGTTAAGGTTAGAGTGAAGTCCCCTGATATTGCAGAAATTCACGGACAGCGTGGCAGGGGTCGTCTTGGTCTTGTTGCTCCATTTGCCCCGAGCAGTTGTAGTTCTGAGCGGAATTTGCCCCCCCCCCCCCCCCAAATACGCGGGGCAGCCGACCACCCACGCTCAGAAGTGGAGAAACATGGTCGTGGATTCTCCAGGGGTGCTGGTACCCTCCTGGGGTAGTCTATCATTATTTAATTCCGCTACCATGTTGATGGGGGGGGGGGGAGGGGATTTGGGCCTCCAGCCACCTGCACTCACCAGACGAAACGCGTAAGCAGAGCTTCCACTTCACGCCGGTATTCCGTAAGGTCGTGGTATCACTCCGGTTTGAGCCGGCCCATACGTGCAACAGCAAAGATGCCGCGTGGCTCTACCACTGTTAAAAGTATAATGAACTACCACTACTACCAAAAAAAGCCGGCAATGCACCTGCAATCTCTTCTATAAAAATATATATAAGATTGCGCAAATTCTGTAACAATATACAAACTCAAACAAAAGAGGTAAGAAAATTTTTAGCCCAATGAAATACATCAGGACGAAGTAAGTACTCGCTGAACGAAAACGCTTAAAATCTTGAATGCAGCGACGGGATGGAAGATTTAATTTTCGTACTACACAGATCAACAAGATTGGCTGCTAGGGTGAATACCTGTAAAAGAAACGTCTATCGTTTCTTACACAGGCAGAAACGACGTCATGGCGTTGGCCACAGTCCAATTCGACTCACTACTTCAGGAGGGGAACGAAATAAATTCTTGACTGTAACTGGTCTATGCAACAATGTTGCCAAATGCGAACGGGCCGGACAATGTGGCAACATCTTTACGACAAACCACCAGTTTGACTTAAGCCCTGCAATTACTCATAATACATGTCATCACAAAATATTTTGTCCTTACCTATGTAAAGTTATATGTTTATATGACACTCAATAAGTTTTGAGATAATTGTACAAGAAGTATTTTAGATACCATTAATATTTATTTTATATCTTTTCAGAATATTCTCCATCATGCTCTATACAAAGTTCCATTCGCCTAAACCAACTCTGAAAACACTTTTGCCAGTCTTGATCTGACAGGTCCGAAATCGCTTCTTCATAGGCAGCCACGGCTTCTTCGGCGCTTTAAAAAAGAACTTGCCTTTTTTTTTCTTTGACTCTTGGGAGTAAAAATAAATCACAAGGAGCTAGGTAAGTCAGGGCTGTAGGGTGAGTGACTTAGAGTTTCAACACCAGATTCCTCAATAAATGCTTTTGTTCTAAGAGAGATATGTAAAGAGGCGTTATCATGATACAGCATGATTTCTCGAAGCCCGGTCTTTGGTCTTCTCTCCCGCACAGCTTGAAAAGCTTTGGGTAATGCAACTGTAGTATACCATTTACAGTTGACTGTCCTACAATTTTCTAGCATTGACGTCAACAAATGTTCGCTCCGCGAAAAAAAACTAGCCACCATTTTTTGCCGATGTTGCGAGGTCTTTGCAGTTTTGTCGGTAACTGTCCTTCTGAGTAGACCCATATCGATGATTTTCCGGATTATATTGATAGATCTATGTTTCGTCACCAGTAAAGATTTCTGAAACACGCCTAGATGCCCCCTTTTCAAAACGTAGACGCATTTCATGGCACCAATCCCCACGAGTCTGTTTTTCGCTTTCGGAGAGCAAACGAGTGATTCATCGACAACAAAGCTTCCTCACTCCAAGATGTTGATGTAGGATGGTATGTATGCTCCCCGAACTATTGCCTACTATCTTTTCGATGTCCGTAGGTATGTGATTCGTGGGTCTTCTCTCACCAACATTTCAGTAGTCCATTCTGCCGCTACTGCTGTTTGCGGGGCCCCGGTTCTTTGGTCATCTTTAAGGTTAATTTTACCCCTTTTGAATTCAGCAAACTACCTAAAAATTGATGCGCTTGATGAAGCTAGGTCCCCTAATGCTGATTGTAACCGCTGTAAACTTAATTGTTCGGTTAAACCAAAGTACCTGGATTATCGAGCTTTGCTCGGTATTTTTTTTTTTTTTTTTTGGAAATCGTGTGTTTTGAAAATTATATTTAGATAAAAATTACTAACTGATGAAATATGAATAATATTCTTTGATCTTACCGACATAATAGAAAAGACT